CATTTTAATTATCATATGTCTTGGTGTTGTCCTCCTTGGGTCCCTTGTTTTGGGAGATCTATTCACCTCCATGGCCTGAGAGGCTATCTCCTTCCCCAGATTCAGGAAGTTTTCAGCAATTACCTCATCAGTGACACTTTCTGTCCCTTTTTTTCTCTCTTCGTCTGGTACCCCTATAATGTGAATATTGTTCCGTTTGGATTGGTCACACAGTTCTCTCCATATTCTTTCATTCTTAGAGATCCTTTTTTCTCTCTGTGCCTCAGCTTCTTTGTATTCCTCTTCTCTAATTTCTATTCCATTTACTGTGTCTTGTACTACATCTAATCTGCTTTTAAAACCCTCCATTTCAGATTTGGAATTTCTTAATGTTTAAATCTTTGTCCTAAATTCATCCAAGTTCTTGAATATTTTTCCGTACCTCCATGAGTGTGTTAATGATTTTTATTTTGAACTCTTTCAGGAAGATTGGTGAGTTGTTTCATTTGGCCCTTTTTCTGAGGTTGGTGAGATTTTGGTCTGAAACAGGTTCTTTTGACATTTCATATTTCTATGTGGTGCCCTCTAGTGCCCAGAAGCTCCAGTCTCTGAGACTGCTCACTCTCTGGAGTGAGGTCAGGGGCCACAGGGGAGCCTTGCTGGTGCCTGGGGGGAAGGAAAGATCTGTTTCTTGCTTCCCGGCTGCAGTGCCTGTTTGTACTGTCAGAGCCAGTGGGCCGGGCACACTGGTGTTAAGCCTCTGTGCTTTTCATCTGTAGTTGTCGTAGGCTGGGTGGCCTCCCTCTGGCTTGCCTGATGGCCAGGGCAGTGACTGCCAGTTAGCTAGCTGGTGCCAGCAGGCCAGGAGGAAGGCACAGCAGGCTGCGTATCACAGTGGGTGGGGTGGGCTTTGGAGCTGAGTAGCCAGCCAGAGGGATGGAGCACCTGAGGCCCCTGAAAGTTCCCCACCTGCTGGACAGAGCATGCCCAGACACCCTTGTCCTCCTGTTCCTCCGACGTAACAAGCTCTGTGCAAACCCCGCCCCTTCAGCAGCCCTCTAGCTACTAGGAAGCCTCTCAGACCGCTTGTGTTTCCTTTGTCCCAGAGCAGCTGGATGTGGATCGCTGTCCTCCTCAAATGGCTAGCATCTCAGTCTCTCAAGTATTCTGCCTGTATTAGCTTTCCAGCCCCACTAATCTCCAGAGCACCATGCAGTGTAAGTTTGTGCTCTCAAAGCAGATCTCCAGGGCTGTGTGTTCAGTGGTCCTAAGCTTCCATTCACTCCCTGCTCCATTTCTCTTCCTCCCACCACTGCGCTGGTGTCAGGGAAGGGCTTGGGTCCCACCAGTTCAATGCTTTGGTGCATTTCCCTGTTTCGTGAAGTCTGCTGTGTACTCCAGGTGTATGCAGTCTGGTACAGCCTTCTTTCCTGTTGCTCTGAATTTTAGGATTAGTTTTATTAACTGTATTTTCATATTATATGTGGTTTGGGGAGGAGTTCTCTGTTTTCTCTCTCGTGATGCCATTTTGAGTTGATTTCCTTGGTAAAGTTAAATTTGTCAATTTTTCTTTCTGTGGTTTGTTTGTGCCTAATTTTTTCACATAGAAGTTCTTGGTTTGTTAATCCTCTCATGAAAAATCTGCATAGTCACCAGAGAGAAGGTCACTGCAGAATCTCTACTCTGTTGTCCAATCTCCAACTCACTGTTTTTGCTATCACCAGCATTGGCCCTTTGCAGTTCCCCTGACTTCCTTCATTCTGTTCTTGCATTCCTTTCACTGTTTTCTTGAGGCCTTTTTCTTTCATACAGTCCATTTCTTACAAGTCTATGTTTGGGTTCATTTTTCTTTGCATAACCCAAAGAATGATATATTATGCCAAAGCCCTTTGTCTTGCCACCACCAAAATGGGTTCTGGATCTAAAAACAAAGATGACATCTGGTGTTGTCTTGTACATTTTGCCTAGTTTTTCCCCAATTTCTGTCTTAGATACTGTTGCCTTTCCAAGGTGAAGGATGTCCATGACCATTTGTTTCCACTGACATGGTTGGTCATGAACTTCCTGGCCTCGGTAGTCACTGTGTCATTCATGATGGCAGTGGATCTTCAACGACACAGGGAGGAAAAGCTTTTGTGCCTTTTTAAAACCTAAGGTCACAAAAGCTTTTCTTCTAGATTTTCTTCTGCAAGTTTTATAGTTTTGTGAGTTACTTATTTTTGTATACCATGCAAAATACAGGTCAAGTGTATGTGATTGTACATTATGAATTCATTGTGTTCAGTTTTGTATTTTTGTGAGTTCATTTTTCTATACCTTAGCAGGTATGGATCAAGGTTAATTTTTTTGTATATGAATGTACAGTAATTGTAGCCTATTGAAAAGAATTCTTACTCAGTTTCTTGCCATCTTTATGAATAATTTATTGACCATGTATGTTCAAGGCTATTTGTGAACTCTTCTATTGGTTGTTTTCTGTTCTTTTACTGTAGCTTTAAGTCTTAAAGTCAGGCTTAGTCTTTAGTATGTTACTCAGAAAGAGCTCAGAATTGTGGTATTCCCTGAATCTTACATGTTTAAAATTTTTTCCTACAGCCTTCCTTATTTGAAAGGCAGTTTGGCTGAGTATAAAATTTTGGGCTATTAACTTTCTTCAGTGTTATCTACTTTCTTACTCTTGAGAAATATGATTCCAGCTTAATTTTCTTATTCTTTTAAGTGATCTGGTCTTTTTGCCTTGAAGTCCTGTGTATATTTTTCTGTATATAGTTTTTCATCTGTGAAGTCTGGTTTTACCAGGATATCAGAGTTGATCCTTCAGTGTTTTCCCAGGTGTCTACCATTAGCCCATTTTGGTACATAATTATTTCTTCCCTTTTGGGAGGGTGAAATGGACCACTTTGGTTCTTAATTATTAAATTTCTGGTTCAAAGTGGGGTGTTTTTTTTATGTTTTCCATCATCTCCAAGTGTTTGTTAAGGGTGTATAATTTACTGAGTCAAATGTCCTCTGCCTAGTGATTAGTTTTGGGGGAGAAATTTTCAGTTCATTAAATGTTTTGATTCTAATTTTCTGTTTCCTTCTTGCATTAGCTCTGTGTGGTAAAGAGATTTTTCTCCTTATTTTTTGGACAGGTAAGCGTTTTGGGCACTTTTGCAGATTTCTGTTTCTAGAAACCTTTTCTCAGGATACTGGAAAGGAATTTGTGTTAGTTACGTTTTTGTTTGTGGACAGGTGTTGATGTGTCTTGTGACTCTCCTTTTTAATTTTGCCAAACCCTTGCTTCCCCTTCTTTCTTTGGCCTTCTACATCAAAGGATGTTTTCCCTTTTCTATTTTCATCATTGTCTCACAGAGAAGTTCTTTCACCATACCCAGAGCAGAGATCTGCCAGATTTCATACATGTTCGGTATTACTTACAACTAGTATGGAAACTTTTGTTTTCTTAGGATAATTCTGACTGTGCTTGGTCACCATTAGACCTTTCATTCTCTTTTCTGTGGTTACATGCTCTCTGTGCAAGTTTGCAACAGTATGAAATCCAGAGGTAGTTCTGTTGGTATTTGGTATTTATTTTTCTATTTACAGATAATTTGAAGTTCATAATATTCTGTTACCTAGTAATCCTAAAGGCCTACCACTTCTTGTGGATCTCTGTCTTTATTTGGCGATTGTGTGGGGGAATTCAGATTTGGCTAATATCATTATCCTAGGGCAACCAAAAAATCCCCAGATTTGCATGTTTGATTACTAAAAAATAATTGAATCTTGTGGGATAGTGTAACCTAATGGTAAGAACAGAGCTGAGGAGTTGGACTTCTTGGTTCAGATTCTGGCTTCACCACTTACTAGCTATAAAATCAGATAAATTACTTAATCTATCCAAGTTTTGGTTTTCTAATTCGTATGATAGAAATTATGTTTCCTAGGATTATTTTGATGATTACATGCAGTCTTGATGGACAACTCACAATAGGTGCTCAAATGATCTGCTTCTATTAACATTCTTCCCACTGTTTTTAATATTATCACTACCACCAATATCTTTGCATTGAGAAACATCACGGTTTACATAAAACATAATCTGAGTTTAGTTTAGTGCTAATTGAAAAGTAATGTGATAACAGAAAGCTGAAATGGAGATGGTAGTAACATATTTTTATATCACAGATATCTTTGAGAATGTAATAAAAGCCTTCTTCCCTTCTAACTGCACAAGTACAGTTATTTTAAATAAGATTTCAGGAGATTGAGCCCTGTCTTAACCTTCGGGTTAAGATTAAGGTTACAGATGCTGAAAGAAGAAAAGAAAGAAACCAGAGCACACGAAGAGACCTTTGTCACAAATGAGAAATTGTGCTAAAACAAAGCTCCAAAATCCAGTTCTTCAATGTTTACTTAAAAATAGTAATAAATCTTATTTTGAGAAACATCGCTTCAGTTTTTAAGTATGATAATGAGAACTTTGTGATAACAGGTTCTTAGATTAGATTAGCATGCAAAAGTGCCATTCTCTTAATATTTTTGCTTAACTATCTTTTTTAAAGTGTATTACCTTATTATTTTTCACACTTTTATTTCGAGTACAAACTGATAGCTCTTTATTGTTTACAGATCTTTTGATTTTCATTTAGCTTCAAGGTTTTTCTGTAGCTTTCATTAAAACATTTTTTAAATTCTCATTTATGTAAATATTGACTGACATCACAGAGCTATTGTTTAAAAAAAATGATAAATGGTAGATAATCCAGTTAATTCTAAATTGTGCCTTTAATGTAACATAAAGAGTAAAAACTAAAAATGAGCAGGTACTAGTAAAGAGAGATTCTGCTTAGGGTAATTAACATGCAATTGGGTCCTTTATTATGAGATTGGGACTTTTTTAGGACTTAAAAACTAGTATGGAAATTGAGTAGCTTTTTTATGGGGTTAAGCTACAATCCTCACATTAAGTCATTGAAATTTAGAGTGTACTATGTGTATACTGTTAATATTATTGCCTTTCATGGCTTGTATTTCAGCCTGAAGTAGATGCTGACACTGTGCATTGGCTCTCTTGGACTGCTCAAGGCTTTTTACCCCCACTTGCTGCAGCAGTAGGAGGCGTTGCCAGCCAAGAAGTATTGAAAGCTGTCACAGGAAAGTTTTCTCCTTTGTGCCAGTGGGTTAGTTCTGTATTTTAATTTTTTTTTACTCTTAAGTTTGAATTATCCACCCCTACTATGAATGTCTGTTATGAATTATATTATTAATATATTATAAAAGCAAACTTCAAATATTTTTTGGTGCATGAGTTAGATGTGATAGGCCACCAAAACTTAATTTTCTCATTGAACTTGACAAGATCATTTGTTGAGGCTATTGTGATATAACCCAAAGTTATATTCAAGGGTGTATATTTTTCTTTGGGGATAGTGAGGGAATGAATTTTCCCTTCTTATACTTAATTTCCAGTACTATTTGCTTGGCAGTCATGAACATTCAGGACCCTTGAACTCTTTCATGGACCTTTTGGCATCATGAATCTTGAGATTCCCTACTTTGTTATCAAAAAGTAATCAAATTCCTCAAATTTAGCTGAAATTGAGTGGGGCTTCCAGAATGTTTATGTAGTTACAAAAAATAAATTTGTAGGTGAAATTTCCTTTTGCTTGTTAAAATTAGAATATATCATCTTTAAGATGGCTAAAGACATGAAGCAAATTATATCTTTTAACAGTTCCACAGGTTTAACCATTGTTTTATTGTGAAGTAATATAGGAGTGTATATCTTATAGAAACAATTTTGTTTTGAATTTATTATTTTAATGTGAAATGACATTTTTATTATTGTTTTTCCTAGTGATTTTTTGAACTTTTTCTATCACTTTAAGTTTTATACATAGTAAATTGTGTTTTTATCTTCTACTTTAAGTTATACATTGAAGCAGCAGATATTGTTGAATCAGTAGGCAAACCTGAACATGAAGAATTTCTCCCACGGTAATACTGAAATTTCTGTTGCTTTATTCTTAGTTGTATGTTTGTTAAAAGAGTTTCTGTCTAACTATGCACTCTTTTTAGGTGTCTTTTCTTCTAACTTATTTACTTCTGTAGTCATTCTACTTAGAGGTTAAGTATCAAAATAATACAGTATCTTTTTACTACTTTATAACCAATGAATACAGAGTTTTAAACTATATGTAATGTGTATGGTTAGTATTCAGAATTCATTCTGATTTTAAATGAAAACAGTTGTTATCTGCAACTTGAATGTATATCAGTCATTCTTCACCTTTGTGGGTCACAAATCTCTTTGAGACTGATAAAATTTAAGAATTCATTCTCCCCAAAGTATGCATACCAGAGTTCTGCCTTCAGTTTAAGTGGGTTAACAATTCCAAAGCCCATCAATAGACTCCTCTAAGAATCTTTACTAAAAAGTCCTGTCTTACAAAGTTGTCTTTTCTAGATAAACTAAAGCTACCTTCACTAACATCATTTGAGGGTATTAAGTCAAATGGAAAAAGAAAAAAAATTTCTATATGGGGTCTTCTCTTTCAAAAAACTAATTATCTGTTAGGTTGAAAGAAACTCAGAGTATTCAATATAAAGTACAACATTAAATTGGTATTAGCAATACTGAAACTAATCTTAATAATGCTTTTTATGTCTTTCTGGTTTCTTGGTATGTGTTATTTTCTCCAGAGGAGATAGATACGATGCCTTAAGAGCCTGCATTGGAGACACTTTGTGTCAGAAGCTACAAAATTTGAATATCTTCTTAGTAAGTATAAATAATGATGGGACTAAACAGTACAGTTAAACTGCAATTGTGTATCATCTAATTAATTAAAGTAAAGTTGAGTCTTTAAGTGAGGAGTTTGCAAACTGACTGACAGGCCAGATCCACCCTGCTGCCCATATTTGTAAATAAAGTTTCATTGGAATACAGCCAAGCATGTTTGTTTAAGTATTGTCTGTGACTTCTTTCATGCTATAATAGTGGAGTCAAATAGTTGCAACAGAGACCGACCATATGGCCTACAAAGCTGAAAATATTTACTGGCTGGACTTTTATAGCAAATGTTTGCCAATCCCCAGTGTAAAGAATTAATACATTTTAGAATCTTAATGTGGTATAATGGTTTTGAACATTAAATGATTTTCTAGAAATACATTAAAATTTGATTTGTTTGGGTTTTTTTTTTTCTTACCAAATGAAGGAGTATATAAACTGATTCTGTCTTTCTGAATATCTTCGGGCATTGGCAGGAAGCTCTCCTCTGTAATATAAAAATCCTTTTCCTACCACTTTGGATTTTTTTATTATTATAATCAGTCTTAAAAATGCTACTGATTTTAGTAACCATTTTTTAAATAGTTCTGAATCTCAGCAGCTGTTGCTGAGCTTTTACATACATGTAGTGTCTACTGTTACCAGTTTTTACTTAAAACAGAAAACAGAAACATCTCAGAACTAGGTATATCCATAAAATGAGTTTTTAAAATTGCCTGTAAACAAGGAATCTTTTTCATTAAAATGTTGCACTACTGATGTTTTGTGCTGTTTGTTTCTACCTTTTATAAAAAATGAGCTCAATCTTTGCCTTTTGTTTGGAATATTAAAAATTGTCTTCTATTTAAAGGAATTAATGATATTATGCTTTTCCTTAACTTGCTTTATACATTTTTATTCTTTAACTGAGATACTTGTAATGGCATAATAAACCAGTTAAATATTTTAAAATAAAATAAGTCACAAATCTTCAAATTATTTTTAAAAATATGTATATATTGTAACAGCATTTGGAGAAAATTCAGATGATGTTGCTCTTTAGTAAGGAGAAGTTTTAATTTTATTCAGTCTGAATTGAATGAATTGAAAATTTCATTTTTCTCCTCTATAGGTAGGATGTGGAGCCATAGGTTGTGAAATGTTAAAAAATTTTGCTTTACTTGGTGTTGGCACTGGCAAAAAGAAGGGAATGGTAAGGTATAAATGTTTGAGAGTTGAAAGTTTATATTGTTGTTGCTTTTTTTGAACTGTATTTGCATACTTCTGAACTTTTGGTTTTTGAAGATAGAGAAGCAAGAAATTGGAAGATTCTGATTCTACTCCTACCACTTTTCAATAGTTATGTGACCTTGTAGAAACTTGAATCCTCTACTCCCGAGTTTCTTTCTTTAATACTATGAAATTGATATCTACTTCATAGTGTAAGATTAAATGTGAAAGGTTTTGCAAACTATAAAGCACATTAATATTGTCATTATTTCTATTAATCTACTTACTGATTATTAAATCTTTAAGATGAGAGAAGCTAACATTAGAAAGTTGCAGAGTACTGAGATACAATTTCAACTGTTGATTTTCAAAAGAAGAGGGAATAAAAAGTCTTAAGATGATAAATGTGAGTTAATTGGGAAACTATGTCATATATTTAAATAAAAATGTTTCACTGATTCTTTTGCCTTTAGGATGTAAACTAGATTCTTAGAGGAGTAATTTCATAGATTTATGGTGGTGATTAACAGTGAGTAATTAATTAAAGTTGATGTAATACTTCACTAAACTTGGCTTAATAATCTACTTACAAAGAGCATTCATGACTATCACAGTTACAAGCAGATGTTCTATATTTTTATCATTCCTCCTCAGCATTTCCTAAATTGGGTTTCACAAACCACTATTATTTTGAGTGGTTTTAAGGTATTTCTTTAAAAAAAATCCTTGGTTACATAAATTTGGGAATCTGAGTATTTTAACACCTTGGAATTTCACAAGCATATCAGCATATAAAGTTCAGGGAAAAAACTGTAAAAAAGAAATGTACTAGCTTCAGGTAACAAAATCAAGTAAGTTAATGTGCAGATACAAAACATAGAGTTGCTGAATTAATTACTCATTTTAAAAAGTGCTTACATGTTTAGCCAAACTAAGTAGAAAGAAGGAAAGAGAAATCCCCAGTTTCCAGGAACCAAGAGAAAAATTAATTCCTGACTTAAAACCTTTGATTTCTATCTTGAATATATGTCCAAAAACTGTTAAATAGGAAGGGAAGTCAGTTGTGAGAAATTATAACTCAGAGCACGCATGTCATAGTGTATGGGGTCCAGTATTATATCATATAAAAACTTCAAGCAAAGAAATGAATATAATAAATATAGGATGATTAATACCTCTAGAGCTCTGACTAAAACAAATGTAAAACTGCATCGTGGTGATACACACCAAGAGTACATAGGACTATGCAGAGAAATCAATATACATTCAAGACAGTTCAAAATGAAAAATGACAATCCACTAGAAAAAAGGGTACCACCTGAAGAGAATTAGCCCTTTAAGAACTGAAGATAATAGGAATGCTACAGATAATAGGACAAACCATCTTTAAAGTGTAAAATAGCCAGAGGTACAGAAAGAGGAATAGAAACAAGAGGGAAAAAAGTCACTGAAATGTTTACAAAAAAGCAAAATAGGAATTTTTGTATAGCTAGTGAGTTTAAAATTCAGGTATAGCTGAAGTAAGAATTGAAATAGAAGATAAATATAAATACCCAGAATGTAATACAGATGGATAATACTTTTTTTAATGGAGAGAATGCTTTTGCATGTCCAAAATAAGTACAGTAGAATTTCCATACAGAGTAAAGATACTGGGGAAGAAAGAAGCAGTATATTTCAAGGATAATAACAAAAGTTTCCAGAGTCATCAAGACAAGTGTGTTCAAATTGGAAAGTCCAAAACTAGTCTGAAGCAAATCAAAGGAAAGGAAAAGGCAAATTTAAAGATAGGGAAGCGTGCCTTCATAATGCAAGGGAAAATTATTAGTAACCTAGATTTCATTACCCAGCTAAATTTTCTTTCAAGAGAAGTAAAGATTACTGACCAGTGAAATGATAATAGATTACCATTTACTGGTTCTCATTGAAAAAAACTATTAAGTTACATGGACAGTGCATGAAGCAAAGGTAAGTAGAGGCTTTTGTCAATGTTCTTAGATTTAAATAAGCATTGATTTTTAAAACCTTTTATTAAGATATTGACTGATTTGTGGATGAGATGGTTAAAAATAATTTAAATGTTTATTGATATAAAAATAAGAGTTCAGAAATCCTCTGATTGTTCAGGAGGATGAGAGAGATTTTAATTAATTTTAGATCTTAACTTATGTGTGCATGTTAAAGTTTAGAGCATAACCACATTAAAAAACTACACAATTAACTTCCATACCAGTTGGCTGGGAGAAAGGGGAGTCGAATCAATAAAACTTATTCAATCTGGTGTAAAACCATTAAAAAAAAGGAGTAGATCGAAAATGGGTAAGGGGTGGTGGCAGAAATAGCCTTATATCAGTAATCACAATAATATACTGATAAGCTTTTTATTAAAAGATGTTTTCTAAAAAAAAGTAATGGTGAGAAGAATAGAGTATACATAAGAGGAACAGAGGGGTTGATAATTGTTGAAGCTGGGTGATAGGTATATGTAGACTTATACCATTTTCTCTACTTTATGTATGTTTGAAATTTTCCATAATAAGAAGGTATGAATTCTCTCACATGTCTCCAGGTGAAGCCATTGAATTCAGAAGAGCAAGATCAAGTGTTAGATCACATAAAAGTTTTATAATATTAAAAAGAAATTTTCTTTTTGGTGCTCTTTTTCCCTATTTAAAAGAGATACCTTCTAGCATATAATTACATAGAAATATTGAAAACAGAAGAAACAGATATATCAGGGAAATACCAGCTAAAAGAAAGTGAATGTATTTTTGAACACCAGTCAACATCTAACAACTGGAACATACTCTGAGAAATACTGCTCTTGGTCAGATTTTGTATAAATACCAGCTTAGATGACAAATGTATTACGATTACTTTTCAGGGTATTTTGAATCTGTTTACTTTCATCTTGTATCCTTAATAGGAATCCCCAAACTTTTTCTTAAAGTACCAGATTGCCACTATTCCAGGCTGGTGGACTGAAAAGTCTCTGTCACAAGTCTCTGTCAGCTCTGCCATTATAGCATGAAAACAGCCATGGACAATATACTTAAACACATGGCATGACAATAAAATTTAGAAAAACAGATAGCCTGACTGCACTGTAGTTTGCAGACCTCTGCTTTAGCAGGTGTTCCTTTCAAATTAATATATGCAAGCATTCTTTGAAAATTAATTGCAAATGAGAATAAATATGTTTAGAAAGAAAAACTAACTCATTTAAGGTTAATCCATTACATGTTTCTAAATTGTGGTAATGGTGTTTCTGCCTCTGTTTTGTTATGAATAATTAGATTAGATAAAAGTTTTGAACAGGAATTGCAGTTAGTTTCAACTGTTTTGATATGTTCCTATGCTAAACATTATGATTAAGTATAAGCATTAAAAAAGCATAGATAGTATTGGTAACCACTTTGGAATATTTGTATTCTTGTAACTTTTATCAGACAAAATAATTTAGAATAACTGGTGAGAGTTATTTAAACCATTCTTAGAAAAGCAAAGTAGATTAAAATTTATCACGTATAAAATCTCAACCTTTCTCTTTTCTTGATATTAGGTTACAGTTACAGATCCAGACTTGATAGAAAAATCCAACTTGAATAGACAGTTCCTATTTCGTCCTCATCACATACAGGTGTGTTGCTATTCTGTTTCAAATTTACATCATCTATTGTGTTAAACAAAAAATAAATTTCCTTTTTGTAAATAGAAAATGGTGATTTAACAAGCATTAATGTGTTCTTCATTTCATTTTATTAGACTCAAATTGTCAAGTAATGGAATGACAACAATGAATAATATAAAATTATTTATGTAGAAATCAGTTTTTGCATTGATTTTGAATATTAAAATCTGATTTGTGAATCATGGACTGTTTTTTATTTCATTTTGTAATCAAGATACGTCTACATATTTAGTTTTAGAAACTAAGGATATAGAAAGAAACAGATTCCCTAATTGGGAATTTTTATTAGATCACAAATTTTGCACCTTTTTTTTGTCTTTATTACAAAATAGGTAAAATTTAGCACTTAGGATTACTTAGCATCCCTATTTATTATAAATTAATGCTTGTTTTTAGTCTTTTTTATAGAGATCAAAATATTTAAGTCAGGAAAAGAATCAGCTTATTCAGGAAAATTTGTTATTACATTAGATATATTTTTTCATTTTATTGTTCAATAACTCACTGATAATTTTAGTAAACTAAGGAGTGTCATGAATAGGAAAATAACTAAAGCAGGTGGCATAATTAACCTAATTGCCTCATCCATTCAAACATCAAGTACTAAGTAGTATGATCTCTCATGAACTAAAATATATGTCACAAAATTCATTCACCTAACTGTATTTCATAAAACTGTCAAGGCCCATTATTCCCATTTTACTGAGTTCTAACAAAGTTTGTAATTTGTATGCATGCTAACAGCACTGAGAAGTAAAAACGTTTCAGCCTAACAGTGTGAAAACAGAAATACTATTAAAACTGGATTCATGGTAAGTGAAATAAGCCAGGTGGAGAAAGACAAATACCATATGATTTCACTTATTTGTGGAAATGAAAAGAAAGCAAGACAAAATGAACAAAATAACAGTAGACTCAATAGACTTGAGCAGTGACTTGACTGGTGGTTACCATTGGGGAAGGGTGGGGGTTGGTGGGAGAGTAGTGTGAGGGGGATAAAGAGGCACAAAAATTCTCAATAGAAGTTCGTCATGGGGATGGTAGGGTAGCATGGAGAATATAGCCAGTGATTCTGTAACATCTTTCTATGTTGACAGATAATAACTGCACTAGTTGGGATGAGGACTTAATAATGTGTGTAACTGTTAAACTACTGTGTTGTATACTTGAAACTAATATAAGATTTTATATCAACTCTACTTAAATTTTAAAAAATTAGCTGCATGAATTCAAACAAAATAGTCTATAGATATGTAGTGTCACTGCTAGTACTCCCAAATGAACTTTGATAACACTTGACATAACACCATAATTTAATACTGGTCACTAAATCTTTAAGAACAGAGAGGGGATTCTTTTTTTATAAAATGAAAATATATATATAATATTTTTTTAGTATTTCTATCCAGAAATAGTAATAATTTTAAAAAGAGTTCAGTACCAAAGTGTTAAATTCCCATACCTCATTTTTTGTAGTTCTAATATTTTATTGAAAGTGTTCTCATTTTTTTCTAGGAACTTGTCTGTTTTAAACCTCATTACTAAGTAAAAGTATATGTTTAATTGGACTTCTGTTATTTTAAGAACTCTGTATAGCACTTAATTATAAAATAGAAGTTATTTAGGTTTCTGTTAATAATGTGTTAAATATTCAGACTAATGTGCATTGGTAAATGTAGAATGACTATGATGAAAGTGATTTCTACAAAGCAAAAGTGAGAATTGGTCTAATTACTATAAAATACGTAAATTCAATCATGGCCTGTATTTTCTGCTTAACATTTATTTCTTCTGTTTTTGTAACTTGTACAGAAACCTAAAAGCTATACTGCTGCTGATGCAACCCTGAAAATAAATGCTCAACTAAAGATAGATGCACACTTGAACAAAGTATGTCCAGCCACTGAGGCTGTTTACAATGATGAGTTCTATACCAAACAAGATATAATTATCACAGCATTAGATAATGTGGAAGCCAGGAGATACGTGGACAGGTATGTTCTTAAATTCAGGTTCGTAAAAATTTCTTTAGTCTTCACATGGTTTCCCATACCTATTTATGGGGAAGTTATGAAATTTTCTGATAATTCTTCCTATTCCTGGGTCTCTTCAAACCCAAACTCAGTTATTTCCCATTATACCTAAGATAAAATTCAAAATTTTAACGGACTAAGTAGAAGTTTTTTATGGAGTGGTGGATCCACCACTCCAGCTTAAAATTTACCTATTTCTCCTTGGCTTCTCCTATTCCAGCTACACATTCCCTTCTTTCAGTTTGCACTGGGCATCCAACACTTTATCACCTCAGGGACTTGCACGTATTTTCCTTCAGTCTCAGGAAATTATGTTCATCTTCTAAAATTCCTTGTCCCAAATCTGCCTTTTTACTCGTCACCTACTTTAGCTTTAGTCTCATCCTTTCAGTTTCAGCCTAACTGTCTTTATTCAGACAAACTTTAACTGCTGAATGTTGTAGAACCTCCAATAGTGATTTTTCACAGCACTGTTGTTTACTTCCTAGCACTTATTTTTATTGACACACATTTACTTAATGTTTGTTTCTTTGCTAAATCATTTATTCAGGGATTAGTTTTATCCCATCATTGCATTCTCAGTGCTCAACATTGTCATTCAGTAAATATTTGTTAAATAAGTAGATGAATGAATTACTACAATGTGTACACTTTATATAATCTTTCTTAAATCCTCATATGATTCTTTAATGTTAGGGTATTAGAGCAGATTTATTCACAGAGAAAAATTTACTAGTGGAGAGTATAGTGGATAGTTTGTAATTTTCAGTAGAAGAAGGGAAAAAAAGTGTAGAATATATAGTAAAAATTAATGTTGCTGGGATAAAGAACACATTGAGAATATATATTAGGATGAAATTTATAATCAGGAAATAAGCAAAGAGAAAATAAAAAGCAAGAGAAGAAAGGCTAACACATTAATTAAGAGTTAACCTAGACGGAAAAAAGTTGATGCCCAAAATTTGATATTAAAAGGAAGAGACAGCTCCCCAACTTCAAGCTCTACTACAAAGTCACAGTAACAAGACAATTTGGTATTGGCACAAGAACAGACCCACAGACCAGTGGAACAGATTAGAGACTCCAGACATTAACCCAAACATATATGAGCAATTAATATTTGATAAAGGAGCCATGGACATACAATGGGGAAATGACAGTCTCTTCAACAGATGGTGCTGGCAAAACTGGACAGCTACATGTAAGAGAATGAACCTGGACCACTATCTAACCCCATACACAAAAGTAAATTCGAAATGGATCAAAGACCTGAATGTAAGTCATGAAACCATAAAACTCTTAGAAAAAACATAGGCAAAAACCTCTTGGACATAACCATGAGCAACTTCTTCATGAACATATCTCCCTGGGCAAGGGAAACAAAAGCAAAAATGAACAAGTGGGACTGTATCAAGCTGAAAAGCTTCTGTACAGCAAAGGATACCATTAATAGAACAAAAAGGCATCCTACAGTATGGGAGAATATATTCATAAATGATAGATCTGATAAAGGTTTAACATCCAAAATATATAAAGAGCTCACGTACCTCAACAAACAAAAAGCAAATAATTCACTTAAGAAATGGACAGAGGAGCTGAACAGACAGTTCTCCAAAGAAGAAATTCAGATGGCCAACAGATACATGAAAAGATGCTCCACATCGCAAATCATCAAAATGCAAATTAAAACCACAATGAGGTATCACCTCACACCAGTAAGGATCACCACCATCCAAAAGACAAACAACAACAAATGTTGGCGAGGTTGTGAAGAAAAGGGAACCCTCTTACACTGCTGGTGGGAATGTAAATTAGTTCAACCATTGTGGAAAGCAGTATGGAGGTTCCTCCAAAAGCTCAAAATAGAAATACCATTTGGCCGAGGAATTCCACTTCTAGGAATTAACCCTAAGAATACAGCAGACCAGTTTGGAAAAGACAGAAGCACCTCTATGTTTATCACAGCACTAGCCAGGAAATGGAAGCAACCTAAGTGTCCATCAGTAGATGAATGGATAAAGAAAAAGTGGTACATATACACAATGCAATATGATTCAGCTGTAAGAAGAAAACATCCTACTATTTGCAACAACATGGATGGAGCTAGAGGGTATTATGCTCAGTGAAATAAGCCAGGCAGAGAAAGACAAGTACCAAATGATTTCACTCATATGTGGAGTATAAGAACAAAGAAAAACTGAAGGAACAAAACAGCAGCAGAATCACAGAACCCAAGAATGGACTAACAGTTACCAAAGGGAAAGGGACTGGGAAGGATGGGTGGGAAGGGAGGGGTAAGGGAGCGGAAAGAAAGGGGGCATTACAATTATCATGTATAATGTGGGGGGAGGCACAGGGAGGGCTGTGCAACACAGAAGACAAGTAGTGATTCTACAGCATCATACTATGCTGATGGAGAGTGACTGTAATGGACGTTGGTATAGGGGACTTGATGAAGGGGGGAACGTAGTAAACATGATGTTCCTCATGTAATTGTAGATTAATGAAACCAAAAAAAAAAGGGGAGAGACAAAAGTTAGATAGAGCAGCAAAGCTTGTGGTTGGAAGGGACAGAAGTGATGAATGGGCTGTTTGCTGATAATGTATCCATTTCCTAAAATATTACAATCAAGAAGGGATGAGTATGTGAAATGGTCAATAGAATATGGTAAGATGTAGTCTGCTTTCATTGTTACTGCTCTCTTTTTTATTTGTTACCTATTATGTTTTCAAATAGCCGCTGCTTAGCAAATCTAAGGCCCCTCTTAGATTCTGGAACAATGGGCACAAAGGGACACACTGAAGTTATTGTACCTCATTTAACTGAATCTTATAATAGTCATGTAAGTGAACCAATTTTTTATATAAATGCCTCTCTTCTTTATATCTAATAATTTTTATATCACATAGTTTTTTTTCTGTATTAGTTGGCAGATTTGATTTAGCTTGCGTAATCCTCCTGTTTCTGATCTGCCGATGATATCTGTGCTTATGTGCACAGACATTTTTTAAAATATAGCTGAACTTATTTTAACAAATCATCAAAATTTTGTTTCTGCTCTTTCTGGAGTCTTACTCTTCTGTTTACTATTTATTTCTCACAGTTGCTTGATTGGTTTCCTAATGACCTTTGAACCTGGTGAACTACCCCAAATCTTATGAAGACTCAGTTTCTCCACAGGAGAGACCAAGCTGTCTATATATGTAAATTTTATGTAAATGATATAGATAAACATTTTTTAACCTCCACCAGTGATTTTGAAATACTACCAAAGTTGAAAACCATTGGCCTAGGAAATAACTGAATGCTTTAAGATTTTTAAAAAGAAGAATGTTTTAACAAGCATAAATATCCCTTTTATTTAATGGATAAATTTTGTTTAATAAAATTTTTTCATTTTATAAAATTTTCTTTCCCATTTACTCTCATGAAATCAGAAATTTATATAGTGAAAACATTACAGTAGATGAAACTTCTAAGTTTAACTTAAAGGATATTAGGAAAAAATCATGATATGCTGGTGTCATATTGGAAGGTTTTCAAAGTTGGGAATGTTACAAAATTCTAAAAGTCCCCTTGATTTTCTTATTCTCCCATGTGTTTCCCAAATCTTTTCCTGTATTCTCTGACTTCATACTCAGAAAAAACAGAATTTAGTACTCTTCTGTCCCCTTTGGTTTTTCATAGATCAACAAACTTGAATAATAATGTCTAAAAGAGACAAATTGAGTAATTTTAGATTGCGTAAACCAGTAAATCTAGATCAAACATTCCTATAATAGAATATAGGTTTTTTCAACTAATTCATATGAGACAGCATAGGTATTTGCCATTTATTTAATGTACACTTTCTGCAAGAAACTGTACTGAGCCTTAAGGGCGTAGACTCCCTGCTCCCAACTTTTTCTTTTCTCCATTGATAAGGAAACTCCTTTACTGGAGATTCTTTAGTTACTTTTCAAAATAAGGGAGTATTTTAGAGTTTTAAACATCCCCTTGATCGTGGAGAAAAAAATTATATATGATAGTCTGCTGTGCGTACTATGTGGTACCAAATCAGTGCACAGATAATGTTATAATAGAATTCATGTTTGTTGTTACATTGCTATTAACAATAGGTTAAGTGTCAAAAGAATCAACTTTTCCTCTTACTGCCTACAAGAAAGAAGATATGGAAGTGTTACATGTATTTTATTTTTGAATTTTACTTTTTAATTTATTTTTGCATTTCATTTTGAATTTTACTTGTATTTTATTTTGACTATGAAAGTCTTGGATGAATCTTATTTTTATTTTAAGAGTCTTAAAACACTCAAGTATATTCAATCAATAAAAAATTGCTACTGCCTCTCTTAACTATTGTCATATTTTATAAATTAGCGGGACCCTCCAGAAGAGGAAATACCATTTTGCACTCTAAAATCCTTTCCAGCTGCTATTGAACATACTATACAATGGGCAAGAGATAAGGTAATAAAGGTTTTTTTTCAAGAAATCATACTTTGAAGTAGAAAAGAAGTTATGTACAGTTTTTAATCAGACTTCTGTTGTCCCTTACAGTTTGAAAGTTCCTTTTCCCACAAGCCTTCATTGTTTAACAAATTTTGGCAGACCTATCGATCTGCAAAAGAAGTCTTACAGGTAAAAATACATTTTAATACAAATCTGCTGAAGAAGTCTTACAGGTAAAAATCAATACATTTTAATACAAATCTGCAGAGGAAGTCTTACAGGTAAAAATCAATACATTTTAATACAAACTCAACACTTTGTGTTCGTGTAATCTTATTTTTAAGATGCCTACAGGTAGTTTATATCCTCTCCTTAGAGAGTATAATATTATTGTACATAGTAAATACACAAAGAATCTTGAAATTAATAGGTCACATTAACTTTTTTAGTTTGGTTGAACTGTATGGAACTGCAAGTGTTTGACCCACAAAATGGCAATTCATATCATTTATCCTTATCGTTATCACTTAATAAGGATGTGATAATAATAAGACAGGTACATATAACAGAACAGCTCGTTAAGCTCCTTGGAAAAAAACTAAGTTCTGGTGAAAATTTCATGAGTGGACCTGTAGTCTAAGACTACTCTCCTATCGAGGACAGTTTCAAAGATTTTTCCTAATTTCCTTTAGTAAGTTTTTAGTATGAAGTATTACCTGTAGTTCTTCTTTAGTAAGTACATATGTAGTACTAAAAACTTACGGTTTGCAAGACAAGATAACTTATGAGATAAGAAACTATAGAGCTAAAATTTCATGTGCTATCGTTTCCCATTCCTTTTCTAAAAAAGAAGACAGAGAGAGGAGAAAGACAGAGACAAAAATCCTGAGGTGAAAACATAAAATCTTAAGACATGGGCTGGCATGACTTTGCCTAATACGTCCTTAAAGTTTGAGTGAGTATGTGTATATTTAATTGGAAATGTATTCATTTTGTGCTGTGTTTTTTTTTTTTTCTCTTATTCTAGAAAATACAAACTGGCCACAGTTTAGAAGGTTGTTTTCAAGTTGTTAAATTACTTAGCAGAAGACCTAGGAATTGGTCCCACTGTGTAGAATTAGCAAGATTAAAGTTTGAAAAGTACTTTAACCATAAGGTAAGTATGTATTATAAAACATTAAAAGGGGTGTGACCCATTTAATTACCAAATTAATTTCATTAGCCTGAAATATCTACTCTTTCTAGAAGCTTTTCAGAAATAAGTAATAAGTTAGGTAAGAACAAGTGCTGGGCACACAGTTTATTTCTCTTTTGAATGTTACTGATTAAAGAATGCATTTAAACTCTAGCCATGGCTTGTTAGTTATGCATTTAACTGATCTTTGTCTTTCTGTGTGCAAAATTTGGATTTAAATAGGGATTCCCTCCAGAGAATGAGTATATTTCATCAGTGGTCTAAAAGAAGTTTATTTTCAGAGTAAAGCAAGAAACTGAAAAAGTAGAGACAATCAGAAATTTTGCTGAAATTTTGCCTTCTCCACTCACATGAAGTCACATTTTGTGTCTTTCCTCATTTGTAAAATGGGGATAATGAATTGATGCCTAATTCATAGTTAATGGTGAGGATCAAATGAATTAATACATAGAAAGTGTTTTGAACAGAACCTTCCCATAAATGCTGTCTAATAGTTGTTATTCTTACCTCTAATTATTTATAGTTGCTAGAATGTGTCCTGCACTCTCTCTTCAGTCTCTTCCTCTTTAGGCTCTTATCTGTTGGAATATAAAGCACCTTCATCTTTTCAAAAAAATCTTTTGGTTACAGTCTAATTCCTGCTTTTTACTTCCTTGGAAAAATGGTCTATATTTACTGTTGCCACTGTGCCTTCTTTCTCCACTAGTATTCAAATTAGTCTTATCATGATTATCAATGGCCTCATTTTTATAAAACCTTAAGAACTCCTTTTAGTCCTTCTGTAGGGTTTGTTTTTAAAGTTTTTATGTTATGGAAAATTTCAGTCATAGAAAATTAGACTAGTATAATGAGCCCCCATGTAATCTTCATGTACCTGTCATTCAGGTTTAACTTAATCAACTCATAGGTAATCTTGTTTCATTTATAATTCTACCCAGTATACCCTCCCCCAGAAGGTTTTGAAGTAAATCTCAAACATCTTAACCATTTCAAAATACAAATAGTATGTATGGTTTCATTTTTGTGTTAAGGGTTAGCATGATATGTAAAATATGCCACTGTTTATATAAAAGGAAATAAAATGATCTATATTCATTTTTGCTGTAGATGCCATAAAAAACTAAGCGTTGATTAAAAAAATAGCAATAGAGGTTGTTTCAGGTTTGGGAGACAGTGAAGGAGAATGGACAGAGGGAGTGCAAGAATGGACCAGCAGACTTAACCATATATCTTTTCATGCATTTTGATTTTTTGTTATTGTTATTTGTTTTATTTTACCTCAGATAATATTAAGTAGTGATTTTTTAAATTCATTTTTTCTTTAGGCTCTTCAGCTTCTTTACTGTTTCCCTCTGGACACACGATTAAAAGATGGCAGTAAGTGTTGAGAATAAAATTTAATGTAATTTATTACTGGCTGGTAACACTGAAAATAATATTTGTATCTTCTGTTAGGTTTGTTTTGGCAGTCACCAAAGAGGCCCCCCTCTCCATTAAAATTTGATTTAAATGAACCTTTGTAAGTATTATTTCCAGTTGTATATTCATCCTTCATTGTAAATTTCTTAACTGTGCATATGTTCACATTGCAGGTTGAAAACCTTAGACCCTTTAATGTTAAATTTCATTGCTGTTAGTCTGAGAGTTAGCATTATCAGTCTGGTCAAGAAAGCCAGTCACAACTTCTTCACACATGTGAATCTGTATCTTTTAACGTGGCATAGTTCATGATTTTAATCTTCTCTAAAATGAAACCAAAGTATCCCTCTTTGACTTTATCCATAAAGAAGTTAAATAATGGTAAATGTTTTCCTATTTAATGAAGCCAGTATATTAGAAACTTCAGTTATATGAGGGAGAAATTATTACAAGTAAATAGCTCCTTAAAATAATCTAAAAAATTAGTTTTCAAAGGAGTTGATTTATGAGTGAATACCATTATACCCTACCTATATTAAATATATGTTTTACTTATACACACACATATACTTGATATTTATATATTTTAATTAAATACTTAGCTTGTTAACTTTCAACAAATAACTATGCTTAGTTTTCTCCTCTGGTGCTTATTTTAGGCCTCCAGTCACATTATTATGACTGCTTCTCCTATAAAATTTAACTTTTCAAATTTTTAAACAAACTCATTTGCTTAGTTTTTGAATCTAATGCACACTTTTTAAAACCAAATGTTTGACTTTTTAATAAATTAAAATGAATTTTCTTTCACTACTATAATTTTTCTACTGGTCACTCCTCTCCCCAAAGGACTCATACCTGAATATTAATGACTGTCAGGATAAACATGTCATGTTTTCTTTCATAGCTTCTGCAGTTTTGGTCTAGACCAAAATTTCATTGCCTAACATTAAAAAATATAATTTTGTAAAAAAATTCTGTGGTAGTTTTTCTTCAGCATTTTAAAAGTTATAGTTTCTGATGTATTAAGCATCTTCTTTGAAACTGTGCATTCATACTTTGTTTTTTTCTTTAATTTCAACAGGCACTTCACTTTCCTTCTGCATGCTGCAAAATTATATGCTACAGTCTATTGCATTCCATTTACAGAAGAGGTAAGGTATTCTTCAAGCCCTAGTGAGAGGTAAAAATTCAGGTTATAATTAGATGATTTATCAACCAATTGGCTCATCAAATGTCTTTATATGTTGTAAGAATTGTTCTCTGATATAAACTTTTCATTTTATTGTTGCCTATTCTAATGTAGCAGAACATAAAATCTTGTAGTGTTGCTTTCTAAATTTAAGTAGTGTAACAAATATTTGTAAAAGCAGTATTAACTTTATTTTTAAAACAATTATAACCTGTTGACTTCAATTATCATAATCACTCTGAAAACCCAAAGTGAATTATTTCATAACAATTTGAAATATTCATTATAGATTCTCTTAGCATTTCTTTGGCTTATCTGGTGTATGAACTGATAAACTTTTCAGAAAACTTGAAAATGGTACCCTGTATTGACATTTCTTTACTTTTATCATCATACACATTCTCTTTGACATCATCTTCATTGATTAACATCTAAAGGATGTAATACATTTTTATTTGAGAGGCATATCTGCATTAGTGAATTTTTCTTCACAAATGCATAATAGAGCTAAATAAATTGCTATACTTTTAGGTAGGCTGAGGAAATAGGAACCAGATCCATAATTAACACTGACTATTTTGGATCTAGATAAATATTCCTGCTGTAGATTAAACACTGTTTAGAACTATTAATACACAGTAAAAATATATCATAGATGTCTGGTTAAAATAGTAGCATTCAGTCTGATACTCTTTTTGTGAGAAGAGTGGTAATTTTGTGATAAGAATTGCAGGTGACCTCAAAAGCAATATGTCTTAGGTTTTCCTGAGCAACTTCTTTATAATGAATATGGATCTGATAGCCTTAAATTCATCTAAGTTCATCTTTAATCTTTAAAATATTTTCCTACTTTTAAAAGAATGAATTCCATTTATTTTTTTTATTTTATTTTTTTATTTGTTGAATGTAACTTTGTGTAGGGAACTTGGAAAACAATGAAGAGATAGTCTCTGATCTGAAGGTGCTCAATCTGAGACTCACAACCAGTTCTAAAACTACCTTTGTAAAAATCTGTGGGAAGAATTAAGACCTCTTTGTTGACTAATAAGTCCTTTTTCACACACACCAGCCTTTTGAGTATTTCTGTAGAAATAAAGGTAAACAATACAAATGGATGTGGTCTAAATAGTCAGATGATAAAGTATTCAAATATTTTAGTATGATAAAGGACCTTTTATGATATGTTTTTATCTTTAGAATTCATAATTAAAAGACTATTTGTTCATAAAATTACTCTTTTAAAAAAACAGGACTTATCAGCAGATGCCCTCTTGAATATTCTTTCTGAAGTAAAGATTCAAGAATTCAAACCTTCCAGCAAGGTATGTTTAGAAATTCACTCATTCAGCAAATAGTTATTGAATTTTTACGTATGTCAAGTCCCATTCTAAACCTGGAGAATCTGGCTGTGAACAAAAACAGAATTCTTGCACTTGAGGAAGTTATATTCTAATGGGCTAGAAGTGAGCTATTTTTAAAAATGCCATTAATTATTTAATATTGGACCGTGTGCATAAGAGCTAAGAAAAAAAAAAGAAATCAAGGGTAAGCTAGTGTTATTTTTTATGGTATAAAGGGGAAAAGTCTCTGTTACGATAACATTTGAGCGGAAGCCTGAGGAAGTGAGAATATAAACCATACTGTTATCTGCTGAAAGAACAATGCACATAGTAGGAACAAATTTAGAGAAAGATCCTAGAAGACTTTGAAGTCCAGGATTTTTCTGGAGGAGAGTATTTAAGAAAAGAGTGGTAGACAGTGAGATAGGAGAAGAGTGGGGTTATGAGAAGTACTTTGTATATTATTTTGAGATAAGAAACCAGTGGAGGATTTTAAACAATGGACACATCTCACTTACATTTAAAAGGTTGGTTCTGGCTGCTGTGTTAAGAATGACTATATGGGACGTGAGAGAGGAAACAGGAGAAGTTATTAGGAAGTTATAAAAGTGAAGAACAAGGAAGTTGTGATAAGGGGTTGGATTCTGTGTATATTTTTAAGGTTTGTGTAAGGGATTGGAATTGGAGTGTGAGAGAAAAAAGATTTATTTTCTTAGTTGAAGTAAGAAGCAAACACTGCTGAGTTAGAAGGAGAAAAAGGAAGTTTGAGCAGAGAAAAAACTGTATGAAATAATTGTTCTGGATGGGTAGGAAAGTCATTTAATTGTAAGGTGTAATAGAATTTCAAGATTGTGCTGAGGATCAACTTAATGTTAATTCATTTAAGGTATTCCACTAAATGTGGCTGGAGAAAAGGCAGTTAGCTGCCTGGGTGCTACTGTAGAATAGTTGGAAAATTGGATATAACAAGGGTTGAGATTTTGCCAGGCAACATGTTGGAAGAAGAAAGAGGTAGAGGGACTGTTAATACAGATGGGTCATGAAATTTAGGCAGGGTCAATAGGAAAGTTTGAAAATACTAAGTATTTCACATGTTCATTATGTACCTTTTTGTATATCCTTTAAAGTGTCCATGAAAGAATCTTCTGTCCCTCTTACCCTTTAGCATTACTGGAAAATGTAATGATTGCCTCCCTATAAAATGCAGTTAAGTAGTGTGTGCAGTCTTCCACTCCGCATTTCTTAAGAAAAAGGAAAACCTGTAGGCAGTTGATTTTGTACAAGTAAATGAAGTAAATGAATTTGCTGAATGAAGTATTCCTGACTTGTAGCTTATCAGGAAAAAAAGTACAGAAATGATAAACAGAATTCCTGTATAAAGAAGGTTCCTAGCCATGGACATAAGCCAAGGAAATGTGTCAGTAACTGTATTGACCTTTATTGCTCTTCACTTGTTTGCTGGCTTGAATTGCTTCTTTCTGTATCAAAGTTTGGAATATTAAATTATCCTGAGCAATTTAGCTATAATTTAAACATGAATTTGAGCTTTTTCACAACTCCTTGAAGCAACTTACCCTGAAACTTCAGGGTTTAGCACTTCTAGTTAATAGATGCCACAGCCAAAATATCAACTAGACATTCTGACAAATAAAAGTTTCTGCTTTGACTCCTTAATATTTCTTAAATACTTAAAATATTTAATCTGTTAAAACTAGTGTTGGATGTATAAAATACTAAAAAATAGTATTATAATTAGTGATGATGTAGCTAGTTTCTTGGTTTAAGAATGTGAACTTCACTGCCCTCTTGGAATATCCACAAAGTAGTTTCTTAAAGATAAATTACTTGTCTGTGCTGCCCTAAGTGTGCATCTATAGGAAGGAAGACATATTCTTTAGGAAAGAGCTTCTTGTCAGCATTCAATAAATATTTTTGCCTACATTATATATTTTATGGATTTCCTCCATTTTTTTGGAGACAGAACAGCTCTGCAGAGCTGTGTAGTTTGGTTTAAGGCAGATTTGTCAGAATCACAAACTGTGGATTAATACTAACTTTGAGTAAGGAATTTTAAGAGAGATTACATGAACTCATATCTTATAAGCCATTCAGTAAATATTTTTAGTACCCACTATGAGCATACTGGTTTTAGATATATTGAGGTTTTTTCAGTGAACAAGGTAGAGTTTTCCTATTCTGAAAGAGTTTACATGTCAGTGTAAGGAGATAGATAATACATAAATATGTAAATAACATATTATTTACCAATAAAAGGTGTAAAATACATTGGACCATAATCATAATAAATTTGATTAAAGTAGAGATGATATTTTCTCTGTGTGATTTGCTTGATAAAGCAGATATGGTAACCAAATTTAAATGCAGGATAACATTAACAAACATAAAACTATATATTTAAAGGTTGTTCAAACAGATGAAACTGCACGGAAACCAGACAATGCTCCTATAAGCAATGAAGATGAAAGGAATGCTATTTTCCAACTAGAAAAGGCTATTTCATCTAATGAAGCTACCACAAGTAAGGGGAAATTTTTGTAAAAAGTGTTTTGAAATGGAGGGATTTTTATTTTCACTAAGCTCTACACCCAAAAGCTTATGGGATTAAATAACTACATAATAATGATATTAGTTGACTTTATGATAATTTTGAATGTCTCTACTCATCTAATTGTGACTAAATTCACAATTTTTCCATATTGCCCTACCCTCAAAGGCTTAAATGTAGATCTGCTTTGTTATTTCTGATTATTTTAGTTCTTGAGATTCTGTTGGTTCCTTTTTAGCTCATGTGTGGTTCCTTTTTAACTCATGGCCAGCATAACCCGTAGACCCAGTTAAGTCACTCTGGGATTAAAAAAACTCAGACAGATTTCTTCTCGGCTTCTTAATTCCATGATTATAGAGGGAATACAAACTCACCAACACACATCCTTGCTAAATAGGGAAAACAAATTTAATTCCTTAAAAACAGCTCTACCACTCATGTTTTTAGACCTGCTCACCAACTTTTTTACTACGTAAATCTTTGGTTTCTAAACTTTTGGGATTTTATGCACAGACCAGTAAAATTCAGGAGAACAACCAAGATTAGCCAACTATTTATTTTGCAAATAAAAGAGGTATCTTAATTTAATAATCATAAAAATAACTTCCATTTCTTTTCACTTCATCACAGATCAACCTAAAACTATTTACAGAATGATTTTGGTAACCACTGATCTAAAATCTTTTTAAAAATACATATTTTTATTTGATCAATTGACCCTATTCTTAATTATCAGAGACAACATGTTTCAGAGTAGTATTTATGGAATCAATTTTTTAGCAATAACCAATGTTGGCTTTTTTTATTGTAAGCCACTAAATAGCAGATGTAGTACATGGCTTTCTTATTTTTCAATTTTTTAGTGAGGATTTTTTAAAATATAGAAACCTCTAATTTAGTGGTATTAAAGCCGTCATTTTCTTGTCTTTCAATAACTTCATCCCAGGATTTTCTTGTATCTTTAATAGTAGTAAACACACATTGCTTTTTACCTAGTAAAATCTTCACCACTTACTGCAAAACTTTGTTTTTTCTGGTGGATATGATCAGGTGACCTTCAGATGGCAGTGCTTTCATTTGAAAAAGATGATGATCGTAACGGACACATAGATTTCATCACAGCTGCATCAAATCTTCGTGCCAAAATGTACAACATTGAACCAGCTGACCGTTTCAAAACAAAGCGCATAGCTGGTAGAATTATACCTGCTATAGCAACATCCACTGCTGCAGTTTCAGGCTTGGTGAGATTATTCTTTGAATGAAAAATGCTTCTTTTTCATCACTCTTTTTCTGTCTTTCCCATTGTGACTCCCCCAACCAGTCACTTAGAGATCTTAGAGAAGGAAGGTTCATACTGATCTTACAATTTTGAAGTTTGAGATACTTCTTGAAATACAATAATCTACATCTTGAGGTTTTACAGATAAACATTTTAACCTAAAAAATAATCTGTGTCAAGGAAGAGTATAATTTTTCTTACAGTCAGTAATCCTCTTAATCATCTTTGTATCCTGCATAAAAAGCAGGTGATGTATTTTTCTAAAGTAAAAAGAACTCTAATTTTTACTCTGATTGTATTGAATTTTAGCAGTAAAAAAAACCCTCTAATTCCTATTAATGATATGGGTCTTTTATTCTTTCCTTAATGAATCAGTCTTCAGGATGGGCCATGTTACTTTACTATACTAATACTATACTATACTATACTATACTATACTATACTATACTATACTATACTATACTATACTATACTACTATGCTATGCTATGCTATGCTATACAATGCTATGCTATACTATACTATACTATACTAGTTTTATTCTTAGAAGTTATGTAATTATCTGCCCCTATATTAAATTATTTTAGATTATTGTATTTCTTAAATCCTTGTGTCTGCTTTCAAAGTAAGAAGATTATGTGGTCAAATTAATTTTTTTAATAACTTGTTCACATATGGAGCAGGTTGAAAATTTGAAAGTATAAAATATGCTAAAAGTAGAGAAATGTATAAAAAGTATGTATTACTACAGTTCAATAGCTTCATTTACTCTTGAGAAGAATTTAGGAAAAATTAAATAGATGCAATTAAAGTTATGAATAACATTAACATTAAATTATTTTAGGCTATATAATCATATCACTTCTTTTATCTAGGTTGCATTGGAGATGATCAAAGTAGCTGGTGACTATCCATTTGAAGCTTACAAAAATTGTTTCCTTAACTTAGCCATTCCAGTTATAGTGTTTACAGAGACATGTGAAGTAAGAAAAACTGAAATCAGGTATGTATGATGGTCTATTTCTCTTACATAATGAGAATGGAAGGGAAAAATACTAGCTTCGCCTCTCCTTTTCTTATATATATTTAAATCCTTACTATCACTTTAAGACTAAAGTCGAAAGCCCATCTTCATAAACCATTTTTTTTTTACTTATAATATTGACATACAACATTATATTAGTTTCAGGTGTATAACACAGTGATTGAACACCTATATATATTGCAAAGTGATCACCACATTAAGTCCTGTCAACATTCATCACCATATAGAGAGAATTTTTTTTCTTGTGATGAAAACTTTTATGATTTATTCTCTCAGGAACTCTCATATGCAGTTATTAACAGTAGTCACCATGCTGCACATTACATACCCATGACTTCTACATCTTACAACTGGAAGCTTACACATTTTGACTCCCTTCTCCTATTTCACCCAACACCATCTCCCTAACTCTGGTGCCTACCAGTCTATTCTGTCAAATACCAGGGAATGCAGTTTTGTTTTTGTTTCTTAAGATTCCACTTATAAGTGTGATCTTACTTTTTTTGTTTGTCTTTCTCTTTCTTATTTCACTTAGCACAATGCGCTCAAAGTTCATCCATGTTGTCACAGATAGCAAGATTTCATTCTTTTTTATAGCTGAATAATATTTCATTCTGTATGTATACCACATCTTTATCAGTTCATCCATCAATGGACAATTAGGTTGTTTTGATATCTTGGCTATTGTAAATAATGTTTCAGTGAACAGGAGGGTGCAGATATCTTGTCAAATTAGTATTTTAATTTTTTCATTTAAGCAGAAGTAGAATTATTGGATTATATCACAAATTATCAAATCTATTTTTAATTTTGGGGGGAACCTTCATACTCTTTTCAGTAGTTGCTGCACCAGTTTACATATCACTGGTGCACAGGGGTTCCCTTTTCTCCACATATTTGCCAACATTTGTTACTTTTTGTCTTTTTGGTAATAGCCATTTAGGCAAGTGTGAGGTGATAGCCCATTGTGGTTTTGACTTGTATTTCCCTGATGATTAGTGATATTGAACATCTTGTCATTTATTTGTTGGCCATCTGTATGTTCTCTTTGGAAAATGTCTATTCAGATCCTCTGCACATTTTTAAATTATTTTTTTGTTTGTTGATTTGTATGAGTTCTTTATATATTTCGTATATTAACCCCTTATCAGATACATGATTTCCAAACATTTTCTCCCATTGAGTAGATTGCCTTTTCATTTTGTTGATGGTTTCCTTTGCTGTACAGAGGCTTTTTATTTGATGTAGTACCACTTGTTTATTTTTGCTTTTGTTGCTTTGCTTTTGGTGTCAAGTATAAAAAATCAAAAAGACCAATGTCAAGAAGGAATTTACAACCTTTATTTTCTTCTAGGAGATGTATCGTTTCAGGTCTTACATTCAATTCTTTAATCCATTTGAGTTAATTTTTATGTAGGTATAAGATAAGTGGTCCAGTTTCATTCTTTTGTATGTGGCGTGAGGCATTTCTGACTAAAGTAGCAATAAAAATACTCTCACAACACTTACTCCACCACACTGTTTAGCATTGTACTTTCTTACGGTTTAACTCAGATGAACAGAAAGTGTCTGACCAATGGACCATGAGATTTAGAATCTAGTTTCAAAAGCTATATGATAAAGCAAAACAATTGCCCCTGTACCTCCATTTTTCACTTTTCAGATTTGCAAAAAACCAGAAATTTGGAAAAACTTAACTTAGAAAAAGTGTGAGAAAGCACTCTTATATTACTGATGAGAGTATAAAATAGTATAACCCATAAGAAGGAAATAGAGTGCTATTTCAATTTTGCAGATACATTTGCACTCATCTCAAATGATGTATGTACAAGATACTCATTCCAGCACTGCTTGTCATAGCCAAAGATTGTAACAACCCAAGTGCCCAGTAATAGATTGGAACATCCACACAGCAAAAGCTATACACTTGTTTAAGAAGAGAGAAAGAAAGAGAATTCTTTTTCTAAGACATAATTAATTTATAATAAGACACTGGAAGGATCAATAAGGTACGATAAAAGTGGTTACCTATGGTCTGATGGGGAAATAAGATTAAAGAATATTTCAGAAGTTGTTTTTTCCCCCCACATTAATACCTAGCTAAATCATAGATAATGGGCTTCTGCAGTTTTGTATAATTACTAAAGGAAATAAAAAGTGTTTTTACTCTGAATATTTTTCTACAACAGAAATGGAATATCATTTACAATTTGGGACAGATGGACTATACATGGAAAAGAAGATTTCACCCTCTTGGATTTCATAAATGCAGTCAAAGTGAGGCACTTATACACTAAGTTCATTAGTCACTTTGAGTCTGTTAATTTTTGTACATAATTTCATTGGCAGTTTTTATAAACATTAGCAGTTTGTTTTGCTCTTTTCACTGATCTTAAAACATCATCACCCAGTGTTTATACTTGGATGGAGCTTTGATTGTTTCTCTTTTGGGTATTCACTTTTAGGAGAAGTATGGAATTGAGCCAACAATGGTGGTACAAGGAGTCAAAATGCTTTATGTTCCTATAATGCCTGGTCACGCAAAAAGATTGAAGTTAACGTAAGTATTGAGCATTCTGTCTGTAGATTGCAATAAACACAAATATCAAATATTTTGAATATCAAGTATTGAAATTAATGTAAATTATAGTCAAAAATTTTTTTAAGTAACTATTATAAATATAGTTGTATAAGTAAATTCATTTATATAATTTATATAAATAATGACTGCATGATGTCATGTCAGCCTTTACCATGATTATTAATGAGTTAAATCACTTTAATTATTATAAGATAGGCTTAGTTATCTATACTTTAAAAAATCAATTATTATGTTATCTAAGTCTTATATTGTTTATCTTCCCTTATATATTTTTTTAGTATCCCTACATACTTTTGGATAAATTAATAGTAGTTTTTATCTTTTGGACAAATAAATAGTATTACTTATTGTACACTAGATGATTGTGAAATGTGTGGTCCTAAAGTGGATTGATTAGTGGAATTCAAGATTTGCTGCAAATAATCCATAAAAATGCTTTGTAGAGTTGGCCACTATTTGAAACCTCCAGCATATGTTTTGTGAAAGATATTTCTCATTTTTTTACATTGTTCATTTAGCAAATATTTATTGACTAATACTACTGTTTGGCTGGACTAAAAAACCTGGATTTACATTGTTGTTCAGCTACTTGTTTTGTCACATTTGAGTAGCTTCCTGAAGTTTTTGAAACTTAGTTTCATATCCACAAATACGGATGACTGTGTCCTTAGCTGTTGAGGATTAAAATAATGATAAGGGCTAGCAGTGTAATGACAAGTAAGAAGTATTCCATAAAAGTTGCTCCTGTTTGTATTTTGTCATCATACATCTTTGTCAAATAGCCCTTATTCTCAAGGAGTTCACAGTCTACTAAGGTAAAGTGACATGTCAATAATAATTGCAATGAAATTGAATAATTATTATAATAAAGGTTTTTAAAGAATAATATGAAAACTAATTCAAATAACCAGTTTAGGGTAGATTTTATCTGAGCTACCTTTGAACAAAGGATTATATTGGGCAAAAGCATGCAGCTAATAAAAAGCATATGTGATCTGTTTAGGAAATTGGGTATTTTGGAATGACTTCAGAATGAGATGGTAAGAATGAATGGTGGAAAGAATGAAAGTTATATATGGGACAAAATATCTTTGTGAAGTGGAAATAGCTATTGAGAAATAGATTACATAGCTCAGAGCCTGGCATGAGAGGTACATGATAATAGAGTAGGTAACATTAGGCAGGAGAGTAATGTCAAATTTACATTTTAGGAGAATTCTGGCAGCAGAGTAGATTAGAGGTAGGAGACATGGCTAGTGAGAAGCTAATGCAGGAGGTATGTGGGTGATGACTTAAGTGTCAGTGAAATAGCAAAAACTCTTCTTTAGTAAATAGAGGATATATAGAATATGAGGAAAGGTAAAACTTAATATCTTTTACTATGTTGTTTCTAGCTTACATTTGAAGATTTAAATCTAGCTTTTTACTCTTTACATAGAAATCCTTGAGAAGAATTTTTGATGCCTCCAAACATACGAAGTTTAGGAGAATTCATTTTCTAAAAGGACTACTTATATTTTGTGTTTTTTTTTAATTATTATGGTATCATTAATATACAATCACATGAGCAACATTGTGGTTACTAGATTCCCCCCATTATCAAGTTCCCACCACATACCCCATTATAGTCACTGTCCATCAGCATAGTAAGATGCTATAGAATTACTACTTTCCTCTGTGCTATAGATTTTGGGGTATTTTTGTGTGTGTTGTTTCTTTTTGGTTTTAATAGGCAGTCTGAATTATTTATCAATGCCAGCAGTGATTCAGCTTGATTCACTTGTAGGTAAATGAGTGTCTTGAGTTTAGAGCTTTTCATAAAGAAAAATTAAGATAATGGAAGTAGATGAATTATTGGATTTAATAATAAATTTAAAGTCTACCTACAAGTTCAAATTCTCTGGGCAACATTAATCAGTAAATCACTCGTTTACTTTACAGAATGTACCAAATTATTTGTCCTTGCTTATTTTTCTTAGAATGCATAAACTTGTGAAACCTTCTACTGAAAAGAAGTATGTGGATCTTACTGTGTCATTTGCTCCAGACACTGACGGAGATGAAGATTTGCCTGGACCTCCCGTAAGATACTACTTTAGTCATGACTGTGATGAACAGTTGTCTTAAATTTACTCCAGGACTACTTGATTTTGGAAAGAGTCCACTTAATTCAGAAGCTAAAAAAATGAGCTCCTAATACTATGGATTTCTTTGATGAAGCCTTAATTTAAGGGAAATATCAATAGAAAACTCCAGTGAAGACTTGTAAAGCATTTTGGACATAGTATACATAGCTTCTTATGTGTATGTGATCACAAACAACTGAACTGGAATGCCATTTTGTAGTGCTTATAAAATATTTGTTTATTAACTTCTCTGTATGAAAAGAAGGAAAAAATATGGATCCTTCACCAGAAGAGAGATCAAGAAATTGAAAGTAACAAAAGCAACTATCTAAAACACTTAATCCCATTTTATGAATTTATTTTTGTTTAGAATTTGAGTCCCATTTTTCTATACAAATAGCATTTAGCACCCTGAGCCTCTAATGACTAAGTTTTGAATATAACACCCAGTGGGAAAAGGAGGGAGGGTAGCCATGGAGAGTACGCATTTTAAATTGCACAGTTACAGTTTACTGACCTATTACCTCTGTTAACATTAACCAGAACTTGTTATATCACTGTCTCCCAACAGTCAGGGTCTTTGTAGATAGCATCTGTGTTGTAAGCCTTGAGCAGTAGGCCAGATGACACATGTTAACTTGGATCAAATGTTAACAGTATTATATGGGCTCTGACAATACTCGTAGAGAATCCATAAATGTGAACAGATAAATGTGGCTAATCATTTAATTCTTAAATATGCCTTCTGATATGGCTCTTTTATTTATTTGGGACTCTAAAACTGATTGTCATAGTATATAAGACTAAAATGTTTGTAAAGTGGGTGTCCTTAGAAGTAGATGAAAACTAGAATTAAAAAATCATCACTAGTTGAGTCTTGATTTTTTTCTTCCAGCAACCTAATGGACAGAAAAAAAAGTTTAATGTTTTATTTTAAAGGGAAACATTTTATTCTGCATTTCCAGAAAGGAAGTTGACAAAGATAAAAACTTGTATATTTTTTTGGTCTTTATTAATAGAAACTTTTCTGGTATGAGCTCTTAACAGATGTTCATATAAATGTTTTCATTAAAATGATGTAAAGTGCATTCAACACTGTAAACTCAGTGAAAACAGCAAGTGTTTCTTTTATTTCTGAGGCTACCATGCATTCTAAAACGATTGGCATTTTGAAACCACAAGAAGTCATTTCCGCCTAGCTGCTTTTCCTCTGATCTCCTTTTAGACCATTAATAGGTACTTTGATAAATTAAAAACTACATTCACATCACTGTTACTCCAATTTGATATCTTTTTATACTCTCTATACTTTCCTTTTATTCCATTTCAAATAGTTTACATGTAGTTGACAAAGTAATTTATTGTTTCAGTCTCTTGTAAAAGTATCTAATTGGGAAGATACAGTGGAGGGTGAGTTTGAATGATTAACTGTTAATCTGTGCATTGGACGTGAAGACAAGTGGACAGGTTGAAAGAAAAGGAAATGGCTACCTCTGAAATAAGAAATTAAGTTTTGTTCACCATATCCTACCCCCTCCCTCATGAATATCACAAGTATAATGCTTAAAGTTAATTTTCTTAAAATTGAATCCAGTAATATCAAAGCCTAATGGCTTGGAACTTCAGAAGCAATAATTAAAGGGACTTCTCTATAAGAAGTCTTTTTCCCACTTAATTTTGTACTCTGACAGTAACTGATATTTTCCAGGTAGTCATTCAATAACCTTCAACTATGATCTAATAGCTTGCTTATATTTTATCTAAATCTCCATATCTCTTTGAAAATAAATTTAGAACCATGCTATCAATTCTTATAAAGATCAGTCAGTACTTTAACAGATAGAAACAAAATAAAAAAGACTTTTTTTATATTAAACCTGAAACCATTTTGACACTGCTTTTTTTTCCCCGTAGGTAATGGTTATTGCCATTACCTTCCTTTGTTTTGTTCTACTAAGGAAAGCCAGGGTAAAAGTTGATGACAGTTTTTTTCATTATTTGTTTATTTCTTAGCTTGAGATCACTCTTGGTGATTGAAATACCAGGTGTATAAATTAATTATTTGATTTTGTATGGTACCAATGAGTAATTTTTTCTTATTAAAATAAATTAAGAAATTTGACAGTCTTTGTAAATCCTGTTCCATGGTTGACTCCAGACATTCTGATCTTGCTATTCATTTTGTGGGTAATGTTGTTTTGGTATTTCTAATTTTCAGGTTTTACAGTCATGAAGATAGAACATTCTTTGGGTGTGTAGGGACATGACATCAAAGTGCTTTTGATTGCTGGAATTTCTATTGAAACAATTGTAGGGGAAATAGAGGTGATCATAAAACCTAAAAGATCTGGTAAATCCCAGATTGTTGGTTGAGGTTTCTGAAGTACATTCCTCCTTAGAGTTCAAAGCAGTTACGTTGTTCATCTGTAATTTCTTCTACGTTGTTCCACACGTAGAACTCAGAAATAAGTATGTATCTTTGTTTTTATTTTTTGTCTATTATGGCACTCCTTGGTAATGCCAAATAACAAGGTATAAAAAAGTCAACAATGTTTAGAGTCCACTATTTTATAATTAATAAAATAAAAATAGAAAATTGTTTTCTTGACATCACGAGGCAAAATATCTTGACCTAATAATTATTTCAACTATAATGAATATTATCAAAACCTCATTGTATACAGTCACTAGGTATGGGTTTACTATTTCACTTCAATTCAAAACATAAATCAGGAAGTTGAAATCTTGGGAATCAGAATGATCAGTAGGTAATTTGTGTTCATTTTTCTCTTGACACGTCTTAGCTTTGTTTTTGAAAATGTGTATATTCGAGTTTATAAAATATAAATGCACAGCTTAAGGAAAAATTTTAAGGTAACTACTGATATAACCAGTTCTCAAATCAACAGAACATTGACAGCAGCCCAGAAATTCCCCCTTGTAGTCCCTTCCCAGTCGCAACCTGTTTTCCTACACATATACCCTCTGGCAATTACCACTGTGTGATTTTTGTGATAAGTATGTCTTTGTTTTTATTTATAGTGTTACCACCTATACATGTATCTAAAGAATACAGTTTACTTCCAGTGGTTTTAAACTTTATGTAATGGAACCATGCTATATTCTTCTGTGTCTGCTTCTGTCATTGAACATGGAATTCATCCATGTTGTTGCTTATAGCTACACTTCATTCATCATCATTGTTGCATAATTTACCTTTGTTTTAATATACCACAATTTATTCATCCTGTTGTGTTGACAATTAGGATGTTTCTAGTTTGGAGCAATCACAGTTCTTCAATGACTTTTATTTATTTATTTCCTAGTGCATCTAAGGTATAGGGAATGGAATCGCTTCGTTGTGGGGTATTCACATTTAAATTTTACTAGAAACAAAATTTTTCTTGAGCAGTAGAAATTTCCTTTTTTTCTACACTATCCTCTACACTGGTGTTAACAGATTTTTAAAAATTTTCCCAATCTAGTGGATATGCAGTTGTGTCTCATTGAAGTTTTACTCTGCGTCTCTATAATTACCAGTAAAATTGAGCACCTTGACTAAGTTTGTTGGCTGCTTTATATTTTGTAAAGTATCATTTCAGTTCTTCTGCCCATTTTTCTGTTGTTTTAGCAGCTGTTTTCCCCGTTAATTCTAAATGATCTTTATAAATTCTGTTTTTAGTTGGCTATATAGTAGCAAATACCTTCTCCCTCTCTGGCTTGCCTTTCCCTCTCTTCATGATGTTCTTTGATAAGAAAAATTGTTAATGGTTAGTTACTAAGTCGTGTCAATCTTCAGTTTTAAGGTTAGAGTTTTTTGTGAATTATTTAAAAAAGATGTTCTCAACAAACAAAGTCAATGAAGATACTCCTCTATATTGTCTTTTAAAAGCTTTTGTTTTGCTTTTCACATTTTAAGTTGTAATTCACTAGGAATTAATTTTGTGTATGCTGGGAAGTGCCTTTTACTAAAGTCTGTTCTTTACTGAAGTGCCACCAAAGTCATACATATATCATATCCTTAAATGTATACATCTCTTTCTGAATGTCTTGTTCCTTCTTTTCTTTCCTTGTGCTAGTATACTGTCTTCGCTTAACTGATAGATTCTTCTTGATATTTAGCAGAACAAGTCCTTATATCTTATTGTTCTGTAAGAGTGGCTTGATTATTCTTAGCCCATTGCATTTTCAGTTCTCAAATTTCTAATTGCAAATATGCAAATCTGTCACTCTTGCATTTTCCACTTGTCTTGCTGAAATTTTTCATCTTTTTATCGACCTAAATTTTAAAAGCATTATTATGTCTGTGTTGACTAATTACCAAATCTGAAACTCTTCTGTGGGTCTGTTTCTATTTGTTTTGATTCTGCTAATCTTTGCTATTAATATTTTATATCCCTGTGTGTGGGGTTATATTTAATTGAAGCCAGTATTACATTGAAAAATTGTTTGTAAAAATAATTTGATGCCCAGCGTGATCCTTTTATCCCCACAGAGGCACTTGGGCACAAGCAATTCAGGATATTTCAGAGGCTTGAGATATTCTGAGTCATCCATGTGACTCACATGAGCTGTAGACTGTACCTAGTGTTCTTACTTCCTGTTAATTCTTCCTCCTACAACCCTTCAGGGTTGCAAAGTGTGAATTGGACTTACCAGGGACCCCACTTATTGGCTGGCACTAGACTCTGCCTTTGAACCTTAGTTGCTTAGCTCTGATCAATGGCTCTTACAAATCTGTAAAAGCTCCTAGGGCACAAGTGGTCCCAAATGAAGGGTTCACCTTTATGAGTTTTTATGTTCTTCTAGATATGATCCTGATAATTGTTGACTAACTTAGCTCTCTGGTGCGATCCATTTTTTTAAATGTATTTTGTCCAACTTCTCTAAATATTCTCTAGTGAGAATGTTAACCCAAATTACCTACCCCACTTTATTTCCTAACTATTGATTGTGTATAAAATATAATTGATTTCTTTGTATTACTTCCATATCTGGAAACTTACTAAATGCTACAGATTCTAGCAAATTATTTTGGATATTTTAAATAATCTTCAAGTAGGAACAGTGTCCTTTCTAAGATCCAAATTTTGATTTTGTTAATCCCATCTATTATGTTTTCTATTCTATTAATATCTGGTTTTATCAGTATTATTTTTTTCTATTTTCTTTGGGTTTTTTTTTTTTTTTTTTTTTTTTTTTTTTTTTTTTCTAAACTTCCTGAGATGGATGTTTATTACCTAATTCATTTTCAGCCTGTCTTCCAACATATGAACTTTAAAGTGTTTCTTCATTATTGTAGTATAACTATATTACATTACATTACACTACAGTTACTATTGTAGTCATATTCCACAAGTTTTGATATAACATTGCTAATATTTCATTAAACTATTTTGTTTTTCATTAGGAGTCCTCTTTGACTCAGGTTTTTAAGAAGAGTGTTTCTTCATTTCCAGCAGTTTGGATTTGGGAGTGTTTTTAACCCAATTTGATAATCCTTATCTTTTAACTGGAACATTCAGGCCATTTACATTTAGTATAGTTACTGATAGGTTTATTTCTGTCATTTTATTTTCTGGGTTTTTCTGGGTTTTGTTTTTTGTCTAATCTGTTCTATGATTGTTCTCTTGCCTTTTTAAATTTGTATTTAGTAAGTTTTTAAATTCTATTTATGCCAATTATTAACCGATTGTCTCTCAGTTCTAGATTCTCAACACCCTTCTATATTCTGGAACTTTGTAAACTGTATTTCTGCTTTGCACCTGGCTTCCTTTAGGTTCCACAAATAAGGTACACTAGGAGACTGGAATGCTTGAAAAATAGAGAAGACTTTTACCCTTCCCATTTGCTTCCTGATATTATCAGCATCACCTCTGCAATGGTTTTTCATCCAGTAGTTTTGGTTGGTTCTTAGGCTCTAGCTTTTCTTTGGCACTCTGCTGGGTATCTCTTCTAGGCTCAGGTTCTAATAGTTAAGCCTTTTTCCCTTTAATAGTTTTATCCTTTGCTGATGTTTTTGGCTTTCCCAAAATCTGTTTAACCAATTCCTTATATTAAATTCTTAATATAAATGATATAGTTTCTCCCTGAGCTCTACTTGTTTTTTTCTCTTGTTAAGTGGCTTTTGTCTTTTGATGATTACTGTATATGACAACATGTACATTCAGATTAAGTCAGACTAAAGTTAATCATTATCTTTACCTTTTGGCAGTTCATAGTTTCCAAAAATGGCCACAGCAGTATTTACGATTTCACATAGTCTACTAGAAGCTTGCCACCCTTCTTCAATCCCTATTAAGAGACAGAATCTGTTTCTGCTACCCTTGACCCTGAACAAGAATTTATAGCTACCTCAACTGATAGAATGCATCATGTAACTGTACAACTTCCAAGGTTAGATCATAAAAGGCTATATGACTTCTGCTTAGCGCGCTCTTCTCTCTCTCTCTCTCTCTCTCTCTCTCTCGCTCTTTTCTCTTGGAAAGCTCACCCTTGGAATCTAGGCATTATGTGAGGAAGCCTAAACTAGCCCACATGGAGAGAAACAAAAACCCCCAACCTACAGCCAGAAACAGGTATCAGACATGTGAGTGCAAAAGCTTTCAAGTGATTCCAGGCCCCAGATTTAATGGAACAGAGACAAGCCATCCCTGCTGTGCCCTGCCAAATTCCTGGCCCACAGAATCTTTGAACATGGATGGTTTATGCAACTAAGTTTCAAGATTATTTATTATGCTGACATGATAACTAGAACAACTCTTATTCCCAGTTTGCATATTGTGGTCATGTATTTTATTTCTGTTACTATTTTAAGTCTGTTGTCATTTAATGTCTTTTCATTCTGCAAAACTTTATTTCATTTATATAGTCAGTGTTTGTATTTAACCATACATATTTATATCACTTTCTTTGCTCTTTATCCTTTTTTGTAAAAATCTTAGGCTTACCTGGTGGGATAAATTTCTTTCTACCTGAAACATTTCTCTAGAATTTGGTTGTGTGAGAGTCCACTTGTATCACACCTGCTTATGCTTTCCTGTCTGAAAATATCTTGTGCCCTCATTTTGCAAAGTTATTTTTGCTGAATATAAAATTCTGATTTGACCTTTTATTATCTTTCAGCATGTTAGATTTTTCTACTCTTAGGGTTTCCCTTTAAGTCAGCTGTCAAACTTTAAAAGAAATCTCCTTACCACTTTCATTTTGTGCAGTTATTATGTGTCTGCATATGGATTTCTTTTATTAATCCTGGTTGGGATTTGTTCAGCTCTTTGAATCTAGATTTGTGCCTTTTGTTAGTTCTGAGAAAGTCTCAAGATACTCCTTCACTTATTTCCTCTTCCCCATTCTCTTTTCTTCTATTGAGATTCTCATTAAACATGGTAGACTTAACCTGTCTTCCATGTTTATCACCCTCTCGTCTATATTTTCTGGGTTTTTTTTGTCTTGTCATGCTTCATTCTGTATAATTCTTCTGACCTATATAGTATAATTTCTCTTCATCTGTTTCAAATGTACTTATTACTATGTCCATCCATTTTGTTTTTAATCTTGGTTGTATTTTTCAGTCTTGTTTGGCTCTCTTTTTTTTAAAACTACTTGATT